ATTCCATAACTTGAGTAATTGGACTCCGATTTTAATGTGGGATACCTCTATAAGTTTGTGGTGAAATTCCCTAATCATCTACATTCAAATATTTCTTTTAAAAGAGGGTCACAATTTTAACCCATTTTCATGTCTGATTTTCCGTAATTCCAATGTCTTTCAGAATGGAAACCCAAAACTGCACTTCTAGATTCCATAACTTGAGTAATTGGACTCCGATTTTAATGTGGGATACCTCTATGAGTTTGTGGTGAAATTCCCTAATCATTTACATTCAAATATTTCTTTTAAAAGAGGGTTACAATTTTAACCCATTTTCATGTCTGATTTTTCCGTAATTCCAATGTCTTTCAGAATGGGAACGCAAAACTGCACTTCTAGATTCCATAACTTGAGTAATTGGACTCCGATATTAATGTGGGATACCTCGATGAGTTTGTAGTGGAATTCCCTAATCATCTACATTTAAATATTTCTTGTAAAAGAGGGTCACAATTTTAACCCATTTTCATGTCTAATTTTTCCGTAATTCCGATGTCTTTCAGGTTGGGAACCAGAAACTGCACTTCTAGATTCCATAACTTAAGTAGTTGGACCCCGATTTTAATGTGGGATACCTCTATGAGTTTGTAGTGGAATTCCCTAATCATCTACATTCAAATATTTCTTTTAAAAAAGGGTCTAAATTTTAACCCATTTTCATGTCTGATTTTTCCGTAATTCCAATGTCTTTCAGAATGGAAGCCCAAAACTGCACTTGTAGATTCCATAACTTCAGTAACTGGACTTCGATCTTAATGTGGGATATCTCTATGAGTTTGTAGTGGAATTCACTAATCATCTACATTCAAATATTTCTTTTAAAAGAGGGTCACAATTTTAACCCATTTTCATGTCTGATTTTTCCGTAATTCCAATGTCTTTCAGAGTGGAAGCCCAAAACTGCTTTTCTAGATTCCATAACTTCAGTAACTGGACTCCGATCTTAATGTGAGATACCTCTATGAGTTTGTAGTGAAGTTCACTAATCATCTACACTCAAATATTTCTTTTAAAAGAGGGTCACAATTTTAACCCATTTTCATGTCTGATTTTTCCGTAATTCCAATGTTTTTCAGAATGGAAGCCCAAAACTGCACTTGTAGATTCCATAACTTCAGTAATTGGACTCCGATTTTAATGTGGGATACCTCGATGAGTTTGTAGTGGAATTCCCTAATCATCTACATTTAAATATATCTTGTAAAAGAGGGTCACAATTTTAACCCATTTTCATGTCTAATTTTTCCGTAATTCCGATGTCTTTCAGGTTGAGAACCCGAAACTGCACTTCTAGATTCCATAACTTTAGTTATTGGACTCCGATTTTGATGTGGGATACCTCTATGAGTTTGTGGTGGAGTTTCCTAATCATCTACATTTAAATATTTCTTTTAAAAGAGGGTCACATTTTTAACCTATTTTCATTTTGGATTTTTCCGTAAATCCATTGTTTTTCAAAATGGGAATGAGTTTTTGGCTCAGATCTTATTATGTTTCTAGATCGTATCAAATTTAGCTTCTTTGTCGTATGACAATATAATTAATACTGGTTCACATTAAACACTGTGCTGAATGTGTTATAATGACCAATTCCGTTGCTTGCCTATGTAGCAAATTGAAATGTGGTACATCGCGGCCTTTGCTGGTTTTGGCCAATTTGGCTTGCAAATGCCCAGCAGATGTTGTGGCACTCAAGAGTAACCGAAGAACCCGGCCTATTATCCTTTGACCTCAAACCCAGACGACCCTCTGCAATGTCCAGTGTGTAAACAATGCCAGGGGCATCACCCCATGCAATATCACCGCTGCTTTAAATTAAAGCTCTGCCGCCTTACCATTAAGGAATGGATCCTATGCAATGGCAGGACCTGAATATTATCTAGTGCTTATCGCTCACTCAGCGTGCTCGCCCATCGATGCATAATACTGCTGCAAGGTTGCGAGATTGTGGGTTATTTGTCGTTAATATGCAAACAGTTAACTGCAGCCACTGCACATTACTGGTCACGAGTGTGTGAGAGTGTGCCTGTGTTTATTGCCTGGCTTATCGGTCCTGAATGTCCTGTATATCCTTGTGTGTGTGCGTGGCTGACTCAAATATGGCCGGGTTCAATCATAACCGGAAGCGGAAGTTAATTGTGCACATGTTTAATGCAACCGATGGTTGATGGTTTAAGCACTATCCCCTACCCCATTCCCAATGACAACAACAATTAGTGAGTGCAAATATTGTTGCTGCCGAAGATTACAAAATCCAGGCCAAAAAGCAACCAAAAATTCGCGTCCTACTAAGAGTAGAATGGCAGTGGAAGAGATGAAAAAAAAAAGAATGTAATTTGTCGCTAACCAAGTGTGTACTAACCTCATTTTACTAAAAGCATTAAAAATAAAATGTAATCACATGCTTCATAAAAGTAATAACTACACACACACACACACAGAGACCCAAGCACACGCACAGAGATGCTCGTTTCTGTCTATGATAGAGCTTCCTGCACTTCAAAACGTGCCTGACTACGTGTCGCTATAAAAGTCCCCCCGGCAAGTGTGCGAAAGTGTGTGTTTCGGTTGTGTTCCACTCTCATGTCTGTCACTGCCAAATACATACTGCGTTTATGGGAAGCTTACAGCTAAAATCATAGATAGATATTCTTTCTGGTTTTTATAATCATGAACTTGATTTAGTCCGAACATCACCCCTAAATACCTAGTTGCATTCAAATAAAAAGAGGAGCAACGAACCTTAATATTTATTAAAAGTGGTAGTTGGCAACTCTAGGCAACTACTCAAATTATTAGGTGGCAACTCTTACAATATCCAGATATTCTTCAATGAGACTCAAAGAATAACTGCGCCTTATTTAAGTTGTACGATAATCTTGGACTTTAAGTGTTTAGGGAATATACTGTATATCTAAAAAGAAACACAACTTTCTGGGTGGCAACTCTTACAATATCCTTATAATCTAAAAGAAGACTAAATGTACTGTATGGCAACTCTAAACTTTGCATTTTCAGTTGTACTATATCTTAAGATGTCTGTTTTTCTAAATGCTCTAAAATAAGTACTCAAAATGTTCCTCGTATAAACGTGGTAATAGGACTGCCATTGTCTATGTCAAAGAACTCATGGCACTGGGATACTGCCATTGGGCGTCTATATGCATTAATGCGCGTGAGCACATCTGATTTTTATGAGACGATTATGAGTTGCCTTTTATTATTTGCCATTGGGTCTGCCAAAGTGTTGCGGCAACGTCACACGAACATTTGCCATTGGAATTCCCTCCCAATCGACGAGGGCTTGGGGGCGGAAATTCTTGAGCATTAATTAGTGTCAACACATAAGCTGACTTCGAGAAGGAAAAATATCTGGAATTGGGTAACAAAAACGCTTTCAGGTGGCTCTAAGCCATTGCAGCTGCAGCTGCCGGCTTCTTTAAGCTTTCATCGATGGGTGAAATGAAAATCCTAAATGACGTTACACTCTCCCTAACACTTTTAGACTAGAAATGCACTGACATCGAAATAGGGTCTAATAAAAAGTAATTTAAATAAATATGCGCATCTTATTTAAAATAAGTAATTCCTCATATTTTAAAAATAATAAACAGGCTTGCACATAAATACGGTTATTGCGATAAACGTACTTTAAAGTGAATAACTATGTGTTTTTGGTTAAGAACATATTTTTCTTTGTGTGCACCTGCTGATAATCGCAGTGCCAATGAATGGAAATCTTCAAGCCGGTTCAGAAATTTCCCTGATACCCAATGTGTCAAGTGTCAGAGGATAGCTCGTTAGGATCCGTAGTCAATAACGAAGAGCATTGTCATGTCGCATATGACAGCAAACAGTTGCAGTTTATTGGATCCTTCACTTTTCCGACGGACTCTGGAGGATTTTGCTTTTGCGGAATTTTAAACCATGCAGAAATGAAAAATTCATCTTGATTAATGAAGTGCCCTACAAGTTTGAGATTTGCCGCATGACCTGAGGCACGATTCTGTTCGACTCGGCATCTTCTCCCACATCCACTCAAATCAATTCGATTTATCATCGGCCGTTGGAGATTTTTATGGGACCAGACTCAGAGCCTACTCGTGCGAATATATGAAGAAAGGCGGTGTACTATGCATGCTCACTTGCCCACGAATCTGTGCGTGGCACAATGGGACGAGTGGCAAACTTCAAGCAGGCACACATCCTTACACTCTAAAATGTTTATTTCCTGTAAATACTTCAGAACACTGAAAAGAAGAACATATTTAAATTGAGTATACGTAAGTAGTTCCTAGGAGGCTTAACTCAATGTGTAAGGTACGGTATTTATTATTATTTTACAAACTGTCATGGATTTTTGTTTTTAAATTAAGATTTTAAATTGGATTTATATTAATGTACATTTATTCATAAATTTTTGCCCAAGAAACTTAAACATGTATCTCAGGTATTCAATGTTCCTTGTTGTATTTTTCCTCATACCTACAGTTTATTACTTTAAAGTTAAACAATTTTCACAAGTATTACCGCTGATTTTAAAGCCTAAGGTAATAACTTTTTTTATACTTTCCTTAAAAAATAAATAATTCTATGAGTGTACTCCACACACTCATTCTCCCACGCATGGACCCCTGACAGATTGGCCATGCGTGGCAAACGAACCCAAAACATGAGCGCAAGTATCCAGGACCCAGGACCTCCCCGAGTCCTTAGTCCTGCGTGAATGGTCAGTGGCCGATGGCCAAAGTTTATAATAGAATTTTTAAGCATGAATAATTATGTGAAGAAGACTTTAGGACAGCTGCTGTTGCTAGCTGCTGCTTTGATTGCCCGTTGTCCTTTTTCCTTTTTTGATTATGCACGGGCAGACATCAAATTTGCTAATTAGGTTAATTGACTTTAATTTAATAAGCACGCGACTAGACTGCCCAACAATAATCGATTTCAAGGGGTTGTTAAATGTGGGCACTGGGTGTCGAACTTGGTGCAAATTTGCTGGAGCTGCTGGCCCTGAGGTTGATGCTAAATTGAATGCAGACCACTATATAGCTGATCGTTCCGAAAATGAACTGTATAGTAAACAAAGGGGTATACGTTTTTAATACAAGATATATTTCTGCTTACCTTTCCCAGCATTTCTGTGGTGATTTCCACCAATCCTCCTGCACTAAACTGGCATTTCTCCTGACTCAATTGTAGGTTAAGTCTTCTTAGAGCCGCATTAAGCTGACCATTACGACGATCTGTAGTGATTGTGTAAAACATCGATCGTAACTTTCGCTGCATTGCCTCACATTGTGTGCAGAGATAGCAGGGCACTATAATTTCTAGGATTTTTATAACCTCATCAAATCCCACATCTGAGAGGAAAGTATATAGAAATAAAGAGAATGAGTTTTATAAAGGATAGATGGAGTTATACTTTTAGTGCAGATTTACTATATTTAAAAGAAAATTTTAAAATTTTTATTATTTTTTTTTGCAATGTAAATATATCTATTCATTTACTAACAGTGTTGTATAGACACTTCTGTGTGCTGTATTTTGCTGAGGTAGAGCCAGTAGGGTAGAGCCGATATGTCTATAAAGAACTTCATGAGCAGAGTGATTAGGCTCAGTTGGAAGTAGCGCTCCAAACATCTAATGGATTCCCATAATGAACCGTGTATTCTTTGCAACTTGGGCAACTTCTCCAGCGACAAAAGGCGAATAGACCACAGTTCAAACCGAGTTTTCTCCAATTCTTTTACAACATTCGAAGCTCCAAGGTTGAGTTCGTGATAAAGGAATAAAATCACGGCACAGTACAAGGTGAACTCGGAGAAGCGAGCCATCAAAATTATTTCCGAATAGAGTGCATAGTAGGTTAGAGCGCGATTATTGTATACAGTCACTAGGCAGAATATCAGACATCGGATGAATAGAGACCCATAGATGGCATTGCAGTAGCCCCGAATTCGAACCGTATTAACAGGAGTGCCCAGGTGTGCGCTCATCTGGTAATGGATCTCCTGCAATTGTCTATCCACATCCCTGCTACAATTTCCCCACAAAAGTTCTATCACAATGATGAAATGACTCGCTACTAGGGCACCAAAGTTGGTCAGATCAATGGTGCTGGAGAAATGATCGTTGAGGAAATCATAGTCGAAGTCATAGTCAAAGCTAAAGCGCCAGGAACTCGAGTAACCCACTGTAATCACAAGGACTACATTGCAAAATACTTTGGCGAACAGGTTCTGACAAATCGGAAGCATTCCCAGGCACTTCATCACGCGACGCATGCGAAGCAATGAAGCAGCGTGTAGTTCTCCGCACTTTTGACCCATGACTGAACTTTCCAGAATGTGCCCTCTATGGGTTTTTCAATTGACTAATTGCCATTATCGGATAGTTGAGATCCAATATTAGAGGGTTTGTAGAATTTTTCATTACAAAGGTACCTTTTAAGCCAATCTTTTTTAATCAATGATGATTGCCTTTTACCATCCGTTTTATATTTCACTTACATTTTTCATTTCATAACTTTACCATGGCCAAATATTTAATGGCATACCCAAACATTTTTATAAATTAAGTACATTTTTTCAGAAGCCATTGTACAGATTCTCTCAAATATGTTTTTCTAAAATCTCTTTTCATTTATGAAAAATGTTTCAATTTTTCGTCTCCAACTGAGCCTGCCTGCGTGCTGATAAGATCCTTTGTAATCACCCGAAATGACACATTTCCCATTCAAATTAGCATCAAAGTGATGCCGGAGCTAAGTGGAAGCAGATGCCCCAGTGCCCATAAGTGAAATGATTTGTTAATTTCATTTCACCACCACTCATGCACACATTCAGCTCTTGGGGGCGATGAAAATTGCTTATCAAAAATATGGCAAGGGGGCGTGGCAGTGGGGGCACACATAAATTTGCATGCCTTTATTGCAACCACAACGAAGACTGGCAAACAAACGGGAAAAGCGGGAAATGGGGGGGTTGAGAGGGAAATGTACATACAAACACGCAAACGAAGCCAGTTTTCACAGAAGGCAGACACTTACATCCGCTTTACTGGTTTTTATGCAACCACCGTGGCACTTTGTTTGCACACTTGTAAAACACCTGCAGAACGAACGCCTTTGGCGGGAAATATCAGTATGTGTTTGTGTATGAAGTAATGACTTAATTGCCTCGCCCTTGCCACCCACAAAACCACCCAACCACCACTTAAAGCCCAACCCCTGCGATTGATCCCAGCCGCGATTCTCTTCTGTCTGCAAGTGGGCTTCATAATTCTGCACAGGTGTCGAGGGCGCTTTGTCTTTGATTGTTCGTCTGGAGTGACTTTAATCTCTGCCAGCCACACCATCTATGTCAGGAATTTTGGAGGTATATACAGTAGGGTCGCATATGAGAAACACCATCTTGGGTCCTTGAAGCTAAGGCCTCTGGTCTGGGTTCAATTGAAGCAATTGTGCGGCGTTGATTTGTATAATTTTGTAATTTGTATACCAAAACTGTGGCCACACATGTGCAATGAGTTGGGGGAGAAACAATTTCGCCGTTTGGGGGTAAAAACGTGTATAAATAAATTAAAATGTATATGTGAATGGGAGTTGCTTAACAGCCGGGGCGGTGCAAAAGTTTTGGTGTCTTAAATGAAATGGTTAAGTATATAACTTTAATATTATCAGTTACAATTTAGATGATTTTTTTGTTATCAAAAGGAAACTATTTTAACTGATCCCAAAATAGATAAACAAAATATCATTATAGTTTATATATATGTATCTAAATACAATGTTTAAAAAAGATTTCATATTCCAACCTTTAGGTACTTTTGTGAGCGTTTCGGTTTATTTTTCTGGTAATAAATGGTTCTGGATTAATCTTAATAAAACAAATATCTTTTAATTAATATTTCAAATACCTACAATAAGTTCCTGATTTTAAGGATATTACTCGAACTCCCCAGTCCGAATAATTCGCAAGCAGCAGTTGCTAAATGTAATTATCGGAATTCTGGTCGTGGGATGGGGCCTCTATATGGTTATGATATGCCATAGGCACTGGTATTACTAAGTGCCCTGTGCGTGGCCGCAAGGACTGCTGACTTTGACTTTCCCGGAAATGTGGTGAGCGGTTTCGAGTTGTTCAAGAAGTCTGGTTACGGGGATAACTCTGGTTTCGTATAAGCAATTCTAAGGCTGATTTCTAAACATCAGACACGCTCCTCTGGCACAGATGCTGGTGACGACTGGGGAACCTGAACCCCGACTCCGTGAACTCATCATATGTGGGACTCCTCTAATGTAAGTCATTCTGTGTTATCTGATTTTAATTTGGCACAATTTCCCTTTTCGCACCTGTTGTGACCTGGCCGCTACCTTTTTCACCACCCCATTAAAAATATGCAAATATAAATATGCTAATTTGCTGAAAATTGATTTTGCAATTTAATTGAAAATTCCGTAGCATTCTTGTTGTAATTGTTGTTGTGGTGGCTTGTGTGGTGTGGCATGGTGGTACCGGAATTCCGAATGGTGTGAGTTTGCTCTACATGAGTCTTGTAGCTGCGGTTGTTCGAGCAGCTGCCACAAATTGCATAAATACGAACAATGCTCGCAACATTTCCATCCTTCGCACATCATTTGCAACTTTTTGGGGCTGCTAGGCTGCTTTTAATGGCATTAAAATTGCCAAAATTACAACACGCATCACACAGAAGGAGCAGAACCGGAAGGGAAAAACGAGGACGATGTCGCTGGTGCTGCTGCTGCTGAAAATCAATAAGAACAAAGTTCAATTCAGTTTAGAGCCATTGGCAGGGACAGGGGCTGACAAATGCTGCGCCTGATATATGGCCCCAGACTGGCTCAATAAATTCCATGTCGCTTTCTCTCCGTTGACTTGCAAAAATGTCCCCCGCAGGAAGTGTGATAAATGTGCGGCATTTGGCGAGCAATGCAAACATGGCACCTTAAACTACAATCAAAAATAATTGCATTTCTCACAACGAAATCATTATGAGAGATGGATGGGGAAATGAAAAAATGAGTGGTGGTGGTGCCAGCGAAGAAAAAGCACGGTGAAGTCAAAAGTCCTGACAATCCCCGGCCAGACAATTGCAAAAAGTCAGTGAGATGGCAGCTAACATGGCCAGCTAAGTGATAACAACACACACAGATGGGGGCAAAATAGTAAGTTAAGAGCTGGGAAAATATTTCTTTATAAGGGTTTTGTATAAAAGTATGCAACAATTTATTTTGGGCGCTGAATAACGAAGGTTTCCATCTAAAAGAAGTTTAAATATTTTTCATTGCATACTTTCAGACATAATTATATGTGTTTTCAAAACTGTTCTGTTTTATACCTTTTTTATTGACTTCAATTTTAAATGATTCCTTTTTAAACAAGTAACAAAACTCATAATTTTCCCGGAAATTTTCCATTTCCTTACTATTTTTTCGCCCTCAACTGTTCGTGTGTGTTAGTTTGGAAACATCATTTATCTTGTCTTGGCAGCGAGTCGAAGTCGCCTGCAGTCTTCGGACTTGGAGCCCCAAATCGGACAGGACCCCGCACTGACCGAGACAACTAAAAATATATTTTCTCCATGGCTATAGCTATTTATTGCCGAATTCGCTTATTTTTCTCCTATTTCTCTCTGTCCCATACCAGCGCAGACATGGGAATGCCTGGCTCTATTTTTCACTATAATTGGCAAGGTTAAACGGGGCGAGGGAATACGTAGTTCATTGATATCAAACTGAAAACTCACTTGTTATTTGATCGCATATTTGCCTTCGCAAAGGTCACTGGGACAATTATCAGAGTGGCAAGGACTTGGTGGGGATTTGAAGCGTAATGACAGCTCTCTCTCTGTTTGCGTGTTTGCCTTTCGCTTTTTGCGCTTTTTATTTCGCTGGCTGGCTGGCAGACAGCGCAATTAGGCCAGCAAATGTGGCGAGCGAAAACCGAAATGGCGAGAAATGGCCAAAATGGATGTCCTGCCCCAGGCTCACATCCAGATACACACCCACACACAGGCAGGGACACACATCCTTTGGTCTCTTTGGGGCAAACAATCGAAGATTTATTGTCCCTCGGCGAATTCTTTGGCACTGCGAATGTGCAAATTCGCGCTGAAATATATTCCCTCCAGAAAGTTGTGTAGGCAGATCCACATAAGTGTGCTATACTTTAGCCACAAATCATAATCGATTCATTGACAAGTCGTCGCTCCATTTTCCCTGTTCCTCTCTTATTAATTCGGATTTTCTTTAAGAGGTTAAAGCCTCGTTTAAAAGAATACTTTTTTCGTTTCTTTCTTGGGAAATTTTATATAATAAATTCACTTTCTAAAAATTCCTATTCAGCTAATACTGTCAATTAGAAAATCACAAAAAATCATAATTGTACATTTTGGCATTTTTTTGGGGCATGGTCACCCTAAAAATTTTGATTGATATTTTTTGTGACATGATTATCATTTGTCTGAATATAAAAAGTATTCTAAGAATCTTTTATTGTTTAATACCCAAAATGAGGCCCATTTGTATATTCATAGTTACTCAGCTTGTAGACTTTGCTTGACTTGGCATTACAAGGAGAAGGCAATTTACGCAGACGGGATTAGTCAGCTTAGGATTGGCTGGCTCAGGGTTTTCATCGATTGTCCTCCTTGTTTTGGAGGCCAAGGACAAGCAGAGTCCGTAAGCCGATTCTTTTTTTTTGCTGTCGGTTTTACACATGAAGAGCTTTATGGACAGGCCATTGAATATTTACCAATGCGTATTAAATTAAGACTGAGACACTGTGGGACAACAAACGGCTCAGATGACTGCCAAGGTGACAGCATTATGTATATGTGTTCGGGTGCTAACAATTTTTGCATGCACAGGTACTAGGAGTTGGGAGTCGCAATTCGGAGTCCTCGCACAAGGACTCACAATCCGATGAACACGGGTTTCTGCTCAGCTTTTGCTTTCGCCATAGCTGCTTATTGCTGTTTACCATATTTGCGCTTATTTGTTTGTCGACTCTGGCAAATATTTGAATTTGAATTCAAACGTGCTTGACACATAATACTCCGCCCCAAGCCTCAGCCTTCGTAGCCTATTTCGCTGTGCAAATATTTTATGAATTTCAATGCGCCAACAGCACATTGTGGGGGCGGGGGGGTGCGGATTTGCGAATGAAAGTGGGCGTGGTGCAGCTCGGCAGGTGACACAAATGCGCCAGCGAATAAAAGGCAACAAAATGTGAAATTAGTTTGACACGTGTACCGGTGCAAAGAGTGAAAATAAAATAAAGAATACGAGCTCGGCTCAGACAGCTGCAGAGATTTTTGCGTTAAAATAATGTCGGTTTAGGGATTTTATGCCATAATGCAGAAATGCTGACAGCGAATTCCAGCCATTCAAGGTTGTTATGGATGTGAAATCGAAATCGAAACCGAACCTAATTATTTCGGTATAGTATCTACTGACTGAAAATAATTTCACCATCACCATCTGCTTTAAGTACTTAAATGTTTCGGTATTTTCCCTGCTGAAATAATATCTGCTTTTCGCAATCAGTGAAATAATTCCATTAAATATTTTTCCATCTTAATTATCCGGCCACCTTTGTCGTTCGATATTTTATGTAACCGTATGCGGGAATGCCTGTATTTAACTTAAAGCCCTTCGCACATATTTCCAAGGAAATGTCTGTAAGAAAATGCTGCAAGCTATAGTGTATCTCTACCACGGTCATGCCATATGTAGTATGTATATGCAGTCTGACAATCGCATCCGTACAAACACATTTCACCACAAATCTACTTAAAACGCAATTAAGTTGAATGCAAATACTGTTGGGAATTCGGTTCGCTGACGGGCCTGCAGAAGAGCGAAAGCGAAGACCTCCAGTTAAACAATGGCAGACAGAATAAAGATGCAGATGCATAAGCCCCTCCGTTCCCCAGTACCCTTCACCATTCCCCAGCACCCTGCATATGCAGGCTAACGTAATTTTCACAATAAAATATTCCACGAAAGGAAAATAATAAAGAAGCTGCTACCGCTCTTGATAGGACTGAAAGAAAAAACTATCAGAATAATCTGCGCGGTACATTCCTGAGAGGAGTTCAAATTTTTACACTAAGGAAAATATATTTTCGGAATAACACTTCCGTTAAATAAACACTCGCTTAATTACAGAAAATATAATAATTTCCAAATGGTTTCTCAAAAGTTTTAACAACCATTAAAACCTTAATAAACTTTAATGGGAGCTACATCTAAAACAAAATATTTTCATACGGTTTGAAAAAAGGATTTCGATTCATTCAATAACTAAAATATATTTGTAGTACTAGTCCATTAATTTAGGGGATATGGATATTATTGCTATTAACTTAATGCAAACTTATAAACTTTGTATAGTGAACATTTTTTTTATATAACTTAAGTGCTCTTAAAAAAATTGTTACGGTAAAAGCAATGCGACTTAAATAAAAATAGAACTAAAATTTAAGTTCACTCAAAAAATCCTAACTTTATTTATATAATGTAGCCCCCATTTCTCTCCGTGTAAGACTCACCTAGGACTGCAGCATATGCCAGCTGGCTGGGAGCTATATCTCCCACTTTTCACCGCTGCTCGCTGATGACTTAAAAGTTAAATTTGTTTTTGAATAAACTTGAATCAACTTTTGGCCAAGGAGAAATGAAACAGGATGCAGACTGCCTGGTGGGCGAGGAGCGAGTGGAGTGGGTGTGGTAGGTGCGGAGCTCAACACTTCAAGGTTGTTGGCAATTTGCAAAACATGGCCAGGTAATTGATATGAGTACAGCTGCCAGAAAAGAAAAAAATAACCACAAAATAGGAGAAAGCAGCAAAGAAGTCTCGCAAATTTGTGGAAATGCATATGGCAAATTGTTTTGCAAGTGAAAGTGCGGGAAGTGCGTGAGCTCCTTGCAAATTAATTGTGCGTGCTGCCAGCTTTCTGCCTTTTCAGCCAGTTTTGGCCTTGCCATGTCAAAGTTTTGGCTTTCAATTGCGAAAATTGCGCAGCACGCCTTTGTTGGGGCTCATTAGGCACTCGTGCCGCTGCTTCAGAGGCCCTACGAGTGCGAATCCGAGTTGGGTAGTGCATTATGCCCAGAATCAGAGTCAAAATGAGGAGTTTATAAAGCCGTTTGTACACATGCCAAGTGTTGTAAGGCCAGGAGCCTCCAGTTTGGAGAGCAGAGAGTTTCGGGAGTTTCAAGTTGGGGCCTTGAGTCTGGTTCTGAGGACCAAGACATAAACAAACGACCGAGCGACCAGTGCAGCCTGCTTTTCCAAGCAGAAGCGAAAGGAATTTCCTTGCCATAAATTCACTAAAAGCTTTTGCAACGAGAATTTGTAGCTACCTTCCGCTGACAACATGGCTCACCTGTATCCAGGTGAGTGGGTTGTTCAGGTGGCCGGGTGGTGTAGCCACAGGATCCAGATCCCATTGCCACCATGGGGTGCCCAGTTCGTTGCAGTCAGACCATTTTTCTCGCCTCGCCCTTGCAGCCAAAGCGAAATTTACGCCTCCTGCCTTCATTATTATTGCACTTTGCCACCACACACACAGAAATGCCATCGGTGTTGTTGTTGTTTCTTAGCCTTCTTGCCGGCGGCTTTTGGCCACCGCAGACAATTTGGCAAACGTGCAAAAGAAGTTTCTAAATAAAAGTGCAAACTAAATGAGCATTTAGTGTGCTCGCGTCGTAAATTCCTGTTGAAATATTTCTGTCGTCTTACAATTTAGCGTTGCCAGCCAACTTGACTTGTGCAGTTAGCGATGTTCAAGGCGTTAAAGCTTTAGTTTTATCATAGGCCTTGGAAAGAGCACTAGTTATAAAGCGTATAAAATAGTGGTATCTGGAAAACACTTGTTAATGAACTTAGGCAAGCTATACTATATTATTTTGGCACACTGTATATTATTATTTTAAGATTCCCTTTCAAATTTACTTTTATTTTTAAATATAATGTGTTTATTTTTTTCAATGTTCTAGCTATAGATTGTACTCACCCTTAAAAATATGGAAAAATATTGGGGGAAAAATACATCGAATTTTGGAAGACATCCGTTAATCTTTTGTATTATAAATATATTGCTGCATACTTTTAGGCACCTTTATTTTTAAAGATTTTGTTCTTAAATCTCCCTTGCTGTCAGGTAAATCATTGTAAATTTCTTGACTTGTGAAGTACGCTCTTAAAGCTTTAAAGTCCTTTATTGCCACACGGCGTATGCGTTATGCGAGTGCCATGAATACGTTTGCATTTTGCATTAATTATGTGCCAGAGTGTAGGGCTTTGACAGCGTTGGCACTGCCTTGGCATCACTCAGCCTAGGCACAATAAAATGGGGTAATGAGGCGCATCTGGCATGGCTAAATACAGGCGTAGGCACACAAATGCCGACCAACTCACACGAGTTCACCTTTTTTATGTGTCTGTCAGTCGTTTGGCCGGATCTGGACCCCAAAAACTGGTGGCTATACTGCCATACTACCCTGCCATATAGCAAATGGGTATGCCTACATACCGCACCGTGGCGCATGACTTCATTAGTGTAATGAAAACAGAAACGGGCAGCAAAAATGTCAAGGTTGAAGCCCCTTACTTCCCACCAACCTTACATCCTTCCATCCATATCCATCCGACTTCTACTTTCGGTGTGCAAATCGTCGCCAATCCGACGACTGGTCCATTTTCGAAGGCTTAACGTAGTCCTGGGCAGCGGATGGCCGGGAAAAAGGTTAACACTTGCAAAATGGCTAGCAAGGACGTGCCCGAGTTTCGTTTTGAATAACAAATTTAATTAGAATTAATACATGCGGGCCTGAGCTAAGCCCAGCAAGAGCCAAATGGGCGTGGATTGGGGAGTGTGGAGTGTGGACTGGTTTGGAGGCCCTTTCCTGCCGGTAATTGGTAAATGCTGAGCCCAGCAATAAGGATAAAAATGTTATCAGCATATGCAATGCCAGCGGGTCCCTTCATGAATAGTTCAATCTATGGATCTTTGGTGAAATGAAAATGGGAAACGAAAAACCAAAATAATAAAGAAAATAATATCATGGAAAATAATGCATGCTTTTAATGAATTGTATTTTTGTATAATTTTAATTATTCTTTTCCTTGCTTTTTCAATCCATTAGTTTAATTTAAGAGCTTTATGGCCTGTTAATAAATGTATTGAATTTCCAATTTATGAGAAGCAAAGCTGAACTGAAATGGTTAACTTTTTATATCAATATTTACAAGATTTAATGAACACTTTCAGTCGCAAATTTCTTCTTCCTCCCATTTAGACTGCCTCCAACTTTAGATAAATTCCTCCTTTTATTCCAAGTAAAATTGTGGAGTTTGGATCGAAGATCAGAGGATCTGCGGTTTTTGAGCATGTGGAGAGCCTGAAGTTCTTGATAAGCAGAGCGAGTCCAGTGCGAGCCTGCATTTGACCAAATCTAAGGCCAATGCAGTTCCGAGGACCTTCTCCAAAAGGCAGCCAGGCGACTGAAGGACGGTTGGAGGATTCCTCTGGAGAGAATCGCTCGGGACGGAATTCATTGGGTTCGGGATAGATGCTGGGATCGTGATGGATGGCCGTTGAGGGAATGATGACGGACTGTCCAGCTTCAATCACAAATTTTGGGTTTCCAGAGACTACAAAACGCTTGGCGGCCACTCGATCTACTTTGGGTACAATAGAATAATGGCGTAGGGTTTCTAAAATGATATCAGGATCAGTTGGGTTGTAAAATATTGTTTAATTCACTTATTTATAACCTGGTTGAGGTACTTAAGATCTGGGATGCATTCGTAGGTAAACTTCTGATCATGATTCTGCAAAACCTCCCCCAACTCGGCCCTAACTCTATCTTGTATTTCCTGATTTTTGGCCATTTCGTAGAGAGCAAATCCCATTGTGGCGGATGAGGTATCGAAACCGGCAATGAAGAACACAAAGGATTGGGCAATTACTTCCTCCATAGTCAACCCTTTAACTACCTCGCCATTTTCAAGAGTCATTTCCTTTTGGTTTTTCAAGGCAATAAGCATGTCCATGAAATCATTCCGTTTGATATTCTCCTTTTCACGCAAACTCACAGTCTCTTTGACTATTCTGTGGTAGAAGTTCCGGATATGAGCGGCATTTCGCTGGAGCGCCAATCGTCTGCCCAAGTTGAGATAGCTCCGCATGAAGCCAGTCAAAAGCTTACCATGTCGCGCATCCAATAAGGATGCGCCGTCCAAAATGCAAAAATTCGGCCCTCTCATCTCGCAGACTATTGCACTGGATGCCAAAGGCGCAGGTTCCGATGACATCCACCGTGAACCTGGCCACCAGATCCCGAACCTCCAGTACAACAGTTTTCGGCTACCTCATGCATCACAGCCATAAATTCATCAGCCACAGAAACGACTGTCGGATACATGAACTTCATTTTACCAGATGTGAAAGTCGGGGACAATTTGCTCCTCAGCAAACGCCACTGCGGACCATCTAGATTAAAAAGATGTGCACACATGGGATCATCTTTTTTATTGTAGTAAATTCCCTTGTCGGAGAAATTGGAAAAGTTCTTTATCAGTATTTGCTTAGCCAGCTCTAGATCTATAATGAATGCGGCAGGCTTTTGGAAGAGGTAGAATCCCACAAAAGGAGCCTTGCTGTTCCAATATTTGTTGTAGTAACCCTTGTAGATTTCGTGAACGGTCTTGGTTTTCTTATATCCATCCATGTTTCCCCTGATCATACGGAATACCACGACGCTTAAAGTAGGTTAATTTTCGGTGGAGACAGTAGGTCACGATCGCTAAAAGGGCGACCGCCACTTGAAAGAGGAAATATGTCAACGACTTACTAAGGATGATGGCAAAATACTAACTCGAGAACTAGCCATTGAACTGATTTTAAAAGATTGACTAACATCTTAAAGTTTTATCAGCGTATAAAAAATATATCTTTTATATAATGTATTTTATAACGTGATTAACAGATTTATCTCTTTCTGAAATCACAACCTTAGCTTCTGCTCTGATTATGCGGACGACTCCGTAATTATTACAGTACAATGACAAGAAACGTCTTATCAGATCGCTTGGGGAGCACTAAACATCCCCATAAAAAAGCTTTTTTAACTGCACATATGCAAATTCTATGACTGGATATCAATATGAATGAACGGCCTTAAAAATACCCTGTGTTTAGGATTAAAATAAGTAATTTGGTTTTATTTACTTTAAATCTCTTATAGTGTTTATAGTTTATAATATTATGTAATATATGAAGTAAGCAAAATATATACAAATATTTACATTATTAAAAGGGCCAAATCCTAATCCTAATAAAATATAATAATGCAACTTTTCAGATCTTTCTTTTTTAGCTACTGGCTGCTTTGAACATTTGTCACAGCCACGCCAACAAGACAAATACACAAGAATTTAAGTAAACATGTTAAAACCATAAAAATGCAAGTTTACAAAGAGCAGCTGAAAAAAGTTTGTCTTAGTGCAAGCCAAAAAAAACCCTCATTGCAGAAAAACAAAATCGGGTATAAAGCTAGGGCTTCAGCATGTAAATGCGAGTGTGTGTGTGTCGCAGGGACTTTCTCATCCTTAGAAAGCTCACACACACAGAGGCAATATTTTTTGCCAACAATAGAGGGGCGGTGGGCGGGGCTGAAAATATGTGAAATCATGAATAAACTGCCATGTGCACAACATTCAACATTTTCCACGGCTGCAGCAGCAGCAGCAGCGATTCTTCTATGCTTTTGCTCGCAGCATGCTTTTTTACTTCTTCTGGCTCTTTGTTACCGCACTTCTGTAAGCAAAAGCCCTAAGCAAAGGCAAGCCAAAACGCAGCGCCCCATTGTATGCACCAAATTCAGCGTGGAACTTGACTTTGCCTTTTCACTTTCCACTTTCCACTTTCGACTTTCCCCCAGCTCGCTCGACTGAGTGCCCAGCGAGATCGTGAATATTAATCGATGGACAACATTTCGCTTTTTCACTATTTCACACTCACGCACGAACTGCTCTTTTGGCTGTTTGGCCCGGAAAGCGTGTGACACATTAATATTGACTACTGCCATCGAACAAAGGGCTTTTTGCTCTATTCCCAGGGTTTTTTTCCCCCGTTTTTCCCATCGATGCATGGAAAACTTATTTACGCCTCGGCTGTCGGCGACACATGCTGCCAATTCAGGCGAGCGAACCGCTCTTTGACAACATCACTTCAGTTCCAGTTTGACGGTAAATCATCACCGTTTTGCGGAAAAGGACTGTACAATTACTTTGGCAAAAGGGGGAGGACTTTGTGAACCGCAGTTTTGATACCCTGGAAAGGTACTTTCTAAAAGCATTTCCAAAATATATATATTTTTACAGAAGGTTAAGAAAGTCTTGAAGTTGTTGCTTTTCATCTTAACCAGGAAACCTTATATCCATTACCCATTTTAATAAAATATCTTTGGACTGTCCATATATGTTATATTATATTATGATCTAACAATTCTAAATATAATATTATAAAAAACTTTGGAATCAATGTTAAAAACATAGAGTACACACTTTTTTCCTTATTTTTTGATGTTACTTATACATGCTCTGTAAATGCAATCCCACTTATGGTGATAAAATTATTGAAATATTTTACTTTCTTGGAACATTCTCTTTTATTATTATATTTTAAAAACCTTATTCCAAGAGATAATAAGAATATTTTAATTTCAACTTTAAGTAATGAAAGAAAACTATAAAAAGCTCGCATTTGAAATGTACAAATGAATCCAAGATGAGCTTAAAGCAAATCGGTATTTCAGCTAGCAATTTAGTTTGCGAGGGTATTCCCATCTAGCCTTCCATTCTTTTTTCTGCAGCTCTTGCCATTTTCCTGACTTTTCTCCTTTGCTGCACTTTTTATAGCTTTTCTAGCTGCCGTTTTGGTCTTTTGGTCGTTTTTCGTTTTTCATTTTCCGCCACCTCGCAGCGTTTTGTGCTCCAGCTGAGCTTTGGTGATGAAGGGTGCAGCTTAAAAATGAATCATTTGACTTTTTCTTATTAAATAATTTATAAGAATTAGTTGAGATTTGCATTTTTTTGCTGGCTGTGTAGCCTGGCCCTCCGGTTTCGGTATCTCTCGCACCCAAAAAGCCCCAATCCCCAGTAGTTGACTGTGCAAATTTCTATTTAATTCGAAATTTATTGCAAGCAATTTTCTTTTTGCTCGCATTTTTTTTATACCAATTTTTTTTTTATACCAACTTGCCTTAAAGTGCTCGACTGCTTTTCTTTGGCTGCCCGGCGGGCAATTGAATTGCAGTTTTGTATCTTGAGCAGGCGACCGCAGTCGAAAGTTGTCCGAAAAATTGCAGCTGGGTGTTTTGAGTTCAGGGTTAGCCAGCTCTCTTCCGTTTTGCTTCATTAGCCATGCAGAGCGGAAATAACAATAATAAGAGCAAGAGTCAAAAACAAAATCCCTCTTAAATTGTATCCGAAATTGTTTTTTCCACTTTCACCCGGAGGGGCGGCAGGCGAAATGCCAGTGAAATGCACGTTAATTTTCGCTTCCATTTGCATTTCCATTTCGGCTGACGAACTGTGGGCGGCTGGCTATATGCATATATACATATATATTCTTGGTAAGGGTTTGGGGGCGTGGCCAGCTGTTTTCGGTGGCATCATTTATATTTGATGTGCCCGCTATTGTTGCATCTTAGGGCAGCTTAAGTTGCCATTAATGCCAGAGTGTTCTCCGTGAATTTCGTAGAGCTCGATCCAGAATCTACCCCCCTCTTAATTTTCCCTTCGGCACTTTTCCCTCCTCCGGATGCTTTTACTTTGCTAAGTGAGTTTTCCAGTGAGTTGGAGCGCAAGTTCTTAAATTATTGTTATGCCCCCAAAACAAGGGTCATTTATAGTACAACCAGTCGGTTGCTCTTTAAGTCTTTCAGTAATTAATTAACTTTGCTTGCTTAAGAAATTAAATGCAAATAACTTTGATATTTGTTTGCCCAACTGGATTACACATCTCATTTTGCCGTAAATGTTGGTTAAAATTCCACTTTAACCTTGCACACTGAACTTATCATATTTAAGCCAAGTCATTTTGGCCAGCTCTTTGCTCGTCGATTGTTTGCCCATTTGTGCAGGTGGATATATAGATATAGGTATGTAAATCTATAGGCTGGCCTGTCAATTTCCTGGTCTCAAGTGTAATTGCTGTCTGGGCATAATTAATGTCTGTGTGGATATTTCATATTTTAATGATTGAAAAATATTTGAGCTCACTTCGGAGTGGTGGCATATATAAATTAAGCCATTGAGTTACCGGCCGAGTTTATTATGTGTCCGGATTATTATCAAGTTCTTAGCAAAGCAATTTAGGTTAAATGCATTTTGTTTCATTTTGCCATTATTGCTTTCGACAATACTATTGCAATATATGGCAAAAAGGTGAATCGATTGGACAATATTTGATAAATCTTTTGGCCACACACACACACAGTTGGGGGTCAGTCTCTCGGCTTATCCTGTGCTTACCCCCACTTAACAAACAAAAACCTGGAAAAGCAGAACTCTTAAGAACCCATGGCCCTTGGGTTCTGGCCATATTGTTGCTGCGCTGGTGCTTATGGCTTGCTTTCTATTCATTTCATTTCAATATGCATTTTATTTGCTAAAAATGTTTAATCGATTTTATGCAAATCATTTCCATTTCTTTGCCCTGCTGCTGTGTGAGCTCTGTTGTGTTGTTGAGCTACTGCAAACACTCGAAAACCATTACAAAATAATAATAATAAAAATCTTGGCCTGCTCCTGGCCGCAAATAAATTATTTCTGATGGAAGGCCAGGGAAATAGAGAGGCGAAGGCAGCTGAGCAGGGGGGCCATGCAAATGTATGCAAACAAAGAAAACTTCCTAATGGAATTTTCCACATGTCGGACATATGCATAAAACCTTCTAAACAAACCCGGTCCTCGGTTCTGGGTCCTCCAGAGCTGTGGGCACTTTGCTGTGACCATTTTGTTTGAAAGCACTTCACACACGCACGTCAAAAACTGTGTCCAAAATGCAAAAAAAGAAAAAGGATAGGAATTGGAAGAAAAAAATTGCAAAGGATTTGGTTGTGCAAAAAGATGGCGTCAAGCTGTGCAATTTTGCCAGCGATTCGATTTGGTTTCGGCAATCCCTTTGGCCGTATCGTTTTGGAATACTGGGCCAAAAGGCGGGTCAAGTGAGTGGCCCTTCACTCGCACATTCTGACCCCCTAAACCCTGACCCCCGACCCCTGACCTCCCAGATATGTGTAAGTAATTTTCGTGCTCTACGGTTGCTGGTGTTGTGGGATATGCTGCATTGCGGTTTTGGTGCAACAAGCTAATGAGTTTGTGGTTGCCAGGACACCGAGCATAATTGCTTTTAATTGCAATCAGCAAATTATGCATACTTGTAGTTGTGGTCCCCCAACCAACGGAACCCCAAACGTTTTCAAAAATAGCCCCAAAAATTCTAGAGCACTTATCTGCTGCAATACCGCCGATGGTTTATCTTGATGGAATTAACTAAATTCCTCAGGCCTTAGGTTCTTTAATGCAATCTGATAGTAATTTCCAGTTGAATTTGCATTTTTAATGTATCTTGAATCGGAGGTAAAATAACTAGGGGCTTTATATCAGCAAAATACATTACATCCATTTATACATTTTTTTTAAAGATTTTATTTTGGTTCAACAGATTTTTCTGTGCACTTGCATTCCCCACTTTATCTTTGATTTTATTGATGACATTCATTGCGATCTTATCAAGGCCGACTTTAATTAAAATTCCGACAAATCAAATTAGCCAAAAGCAATTAGCTAATCAGGCTTTAAGTGCGGCGGCCTTTAAGCTGCAAAAAACACTCAAATTGTGACGGCCAGCGGCGGAATTGGCCAACTTTTTGGCAAGTTGAACAATTGAAACAATGGGCCCACCATAAAGTTTGCCACCAAACAGTGTGCCACCAAAACCCTTCCGCTGTCAGTTCTATTCAGTTCAGTTCAGTTCAGTTGGCCCATTCGATTCACCCTGAAAGCGCTTAGAGTTTGAGTAATGGAACTTCAAAAACGCAGCCGCCGCAAAACATGAAAACTAAAGCCGCTTTTGTGAGTGCGTGTGTGAAAGCGTAGTGTAAGGGCAATTAAAGGGAACAAGCAAAACCACAATAGGATTATCAGTTTTATGCAACAGCCAATAAAGAGCAATGAAAGATCAAATGGGTTTTTCTGTCGTGCTGTAGTTTATTCTGCCAAACAATGGGGATAGAAAGGTTGAGAGTATATAGTTTATGGTAGTTTTACTTGCTTTGAAAGTAAATCTTTCTTAAATATTACAAATTAAATGGGTTTGGAAGATGAAGCCTGATCCTAGTACACATGCTATGCAAGCCTGGCTTTTCAAATCAATTATAAAGCTGCCCAAAAGTATGCAGTAAAAATATAATTTCTTCAGTGTGCACTCACAGCTCAATTTAAAATATAATGTTGCATACTTTTAGACACCTTTTAAAGAAATTTAAAAATCCTTACTTCAAAATAAGTATTTTTGTGGTTGTAAAAAACAAATATTTTTAGTTAAATATTAAAATTAACATTCTTATAGCTCCAAATCTTGAAATAAATATTTTTTCGATTCGATTGGCTTTACAATCATGGTTATCAATTGAAGAAAATTGAAATGACACTGAATTCTTATTTCTCATCCACCGACTTGGCGTTCGAATTGTGCCTTTCTTGGACTCATTAATCGTCTTTTGATTCTTTTTCGCTCACTTGTGTAATTGGCACTCATTCATCATATTCAGCGTCAATTATTGGCCCGCTGCATCTGCCAGAGATGCATCTATCTTCATTTCCATCAGCGCATTACATCAGCCGCAGCTGCCCCCCTAGGGTGGACCAAAAAAAAAAATGGGGCGTGGCAGAGCCCAAAAAAGTCCTTAATAATCTGAAGCTTAATCTGTAGTAATTGATTTATCGCATGGCGCCTCAACTGCAGACAATTAAATTACGATGGGCCCAGAAAAAAAACAACGATGAATTTTGTAATTTTTATTTCACCTTTTGTTTGTTTTTGGGTCGCAGGCCAAATCAATTGCATTTGTATTATTGTTTTAATGCAGCGGCTAAAAATTTATGAAGGCAGGATAATGGTAGGACAAAGGTAAACAAAAAGTTATTCAAACATTTGCATTGAAATCCGGAAAAGCCTCAAATAAAACCATTGGAAAGGAGTGTTGAAAAAATACGCGAAATCGATTTTATTTTGTTTCCTGATTTCTGCATGTTGATTGTGTTATTTTTTGTGAAAATATTTTGATTATGCCTGTCGATTGGTTTGTTTTTCCGCCAGGTTTTACAGCATTTGCGCCTGGCTTTGGTGTTGTTTAAACAATAAGTGTTTTTCTTTCTTTGCGGTTTTGCGGAAAACTGACAGCCCGGGGGCATTGACATTTGCATGTGTGATTGTAGTTTGTTTGCTCGAATTCGAATTCGCAATTGCTGGTCGTGTGTGTGTGTGTATTTTGTGTGGGGCAAACATAAACACACACCTTCACAACTAAGTGCTTAGTTCATAAACGTTGACAATTAATTGAGCAAAATGCCAGCCATTCAACTAATTGGAAACGCTTAATGCGAATGCGAAACCAAAGCCCCAAACGGTCCGACCCGGCTAATGAAATTATTTGTGGCAATTATATGGCACCCAAGGGTGTGTTTTTGAGCCACCCAGACAAGCATACACATATATGATGGCGGTTCTCTACTGGCTTATTTATTTAATGATTTCTTTTCCAGGGCCTCTTGGCAGCAGGACATCATCTGGCCGGGGTTCAAATACTCGAGGGAGGGCACATACCCATAGCCTGCATTGATGATGTGCTGCATGTACTCGTTGAAAACGTCCAGATTCAGGTAACGCCACTTGGGACACTCGTATCGGTGGTGATGTCGAATGTTCGGACTGAAGACCCACTGCCTTTCATGGGGTTTCTCCATCTGGAGCGGCTCCTTCAGCGGCGATGTGGGATCCAAAAAGTTATGGGTTATCGAGAAGGACAGGCCCAGGTTGATCATCGATTGTATCTGCGGCATGTCCAGCAATTCCTGAAACTTCTCATCCGAGTGTTTGGTCTTCAGCACAGTGGTGTACCATGCTGGCATCAGATTAAAGCGTATCGCCTGCATTATGGCCACCGCGAACTCTTTTCGATTTCGCCAATCGTAGAATAACCATCTCACACCGCTCATAAACATCTCCATCTCGGAATTAACGCACATATTTATGTGACTGAGCATCTCAAAGACGTGACGTGGTTCCAATTCGAGATACTCCTCGGTGGCAACGGCCACCAGGAAATAGTCATGAATGCGACCCAGCATCAGTTCCTGCAACACGCCCGCTTTTAAGGGCAAACACTGCAAATACAATCGAAAAGCTTCGAAACCATTCAGCAACTTGGGATTGTCCAATCGACACCAGATATGGGCATTCAGTTCCGGCATGTCCAGGAAATTGGCGGCCAAATAGAGTTCCACTATGTGTTTTCGGGAGGGTTTGGCATTCGGATGTGTCATCCATTCGTATGCCAGTTCAAAACCCTTCGGTGTTATATCATCCGTACCCAAGGTGACCACATCCACTTTTCTGAGTTTTTTAAAATACCCTGTGCACACCTGCAAAACGGGCAGATGACATTTGAAGGACTGATTTCCCACATGGACCACCAGATCAGTGCATTTCTTGTTCTCCAACATATGGGTGATCCCTCGGATCATATACTCTTTGCTGCAGGAGAACTGGAACTCAATATCCTCGGTCGGTTCCAAAAAGCCCATTTGCTCGAGACCGCATTCGGGTAGTTTCTCCCATGAATCATTTTCCTGTTTCATACAGCTCTTGGAAATAAGTTCTTGGGTTTCTTGATCACTAAGGATTAGTATAAATAGGTTATGTATGCAAAATCCCGAAAGTTTATTACCCAAGTAAACTTTATATTACTTACATGCTCCATAATTCCAGTTCATCATCGACTTCTAAGCTATTCGACGGCACCTCAAGAGAACTACTAGTTTCCTCAGCCAAACTCATTGCTACGATTTGAATTTTGTTTGTGGATATACGAAGGTAAAGAAAATAGATGTGTGTTTACAAAAAGCTAAGGGAAAACTCATGGCGCACTGATGTTTGGCACTCGATTTGCGGCATTAAAAGGATCATTTGCGGCTTGCAAAGGCCGCAAGTAGTAGACCACACTTAAACTACATTTAAGCACGGCTATGGCTGTAGCAGCCTCGGATTTGGGATTCTAATACCTCTACCTGGGCAACTTTACGTTTTAAGTGGCCGGAGGGCTCAAGAGCTTAGCCCGGGGTCTTTTCGAGTGGGCCTGTTTATCTATGCCCATACAGTTTGAAGTGCTCTTCTCGGCTCAAACTCCCTACAACCCCCCCGGCTTTTCACTTCGGCTCATATCGGTGTAGCTGCCGCAAATGCCAGTCATTACATGCAACGATTGTGAGCTGGCCAAGATTTTATGTGCCAACAACAAACAGACAAGGCCCAGACTGACAGGGCAGGGAAACTTCTCGTTGGGTTGGGGATAACAGGAAAATTGAGCTTAAGTTGCAATTAAGCAATTGCCCAGCCGGTTGATGCTGCTCCTCCGGACTCCTCCGATTCCTCCCCCCTTTTGGGCCCGGCTAATAGCAGCAAGCAAACTCAAGTGGCTGCTAACTTGGCTTTTGAATCGAGCAGCTCGGCCATCATCCCCCAGCTGCAAATAATGCAAAATTGCAATGAAATGCGGCCAGCTGCCAGCTGCATGAGGTGAACTTTGCCCTGGGAATCCCGCCCCACGCTAGTTCTTCTCCGTTTTTTTTCTATTTATGTGCAGTTGCTTTCCAATCACCAGCCAGCAAACTTAATACAATATTTAAGCCGCAAACGTAGCACAATGTAAACCAAAGTAATCTCGAACTCAGCTCCGGCTGTGCAGCAAGCAGCTCGGTTTGGTTTGGTATGGCTTGGCTTGGCTTTCCTGTGGCAAGTGGCACGACTTGCGGCCAACTGCAGCAGAATCAGAGGCAAGATTCGAGTCGAGATGGGAATGGGGATGGGTTTGGGGGTGGTGGAGTGGTAGTGCAACAAAAAAAAAAATAGAAGAAAAACAATTCCAGCATTGAGGCAACTTCGCGTTTTTTAAGTGGAAAACTTTGGCCCTTACGTTTGGCCATGGGGCAGGCTGGCTGCAATGAAGCTTAAAGTGTGCCTCAAATGCAGTTCAAATGTGCCCGGAGAATTTGCTACGGCATCGCGCTGACTGACTGACCTACAGAGGGAAAACTGAAAGTAATTCAATTAATAGGTCTGTTGATCAGGAAATATAAAATGTGGAGACGATATATTTCATGCTTCAAGAAAAGGTTAGTCAGTGAATTTTCTTTACTTGTTAATTTAGGAAGTATAACTATAAAGGAATAACAAATGTTATTATCCAAAAATTAATTTATATTTTTAAAACCACATTAAATATTGGTTTTAGAAGTTAAGGTTACATAATAAAATATTGTTTTGAATTAAATTTGTAAAGCTTAAGTCAGATTTAAAATATATACACTCAGTTTAGCAAAGTATGATTTAATCTTGCTATTTTATGGCAAGCTCATGTCGTTTTTAGATGTGATTTTCAGTCCTAACATAGATTTAACATTATAAAATCAGTTCTAATTTCAAAAACAGTTTTTCTCAATGTATAAATTAGTCTATATCTAGTTATACCGAAATATTTTATAAATTTCTGTTCAAATATCATTTGCTTTTTAGTTTTTTCTCAGTCCTAACTCAATTTAGGTTTCCAAAAATCACTACTAATTTATCAAAAATTTTTTCGCAGTGCATAATTAGTCGCCCCCACAAATCGATGGTCTTGCAGCCGCTGCCAAGAAATCAGTTCGATTGATTTTAAGCTTTAATGCGCTGTCTGCAGGACCATAAACTCGGGAGGATTGTCGGCTGATGCTGCCGTCCAATGAATTTCAAATTACCAATAAACAATTGAATGAGCAGCGAAAATATAAACACGCACAGATACACACACACTCACACAAGCCACGCATACAAATGCTAATCAGCGATGCTTTATGATTTTCGGTATATTTGCGTTGCTCATACGCAGTGTGGGCCGCATCGCTAATCCCGGCACGCAGCATCAATAAGTCAAACACGTCAATGGCAGGCACTGCGGAGTCCTGGGAGGAGCAAAAGTCCTGGCAATCCTGGCAGTCCTGGCAAACAGCAGTCCTACATCCAGCGAGCTGAGACAAAAAGGCAACAATTTATTGTTGCTCAATGTCGCATTTATCATCACTTTATGCTACTTAATCGAGGGGATCCCATTCCTCGCCCAGATCCTTTGAGCTCGATTTCCGCCGTCGAAGATGATTTCAATGTTTACTCTCGTCTCGTCCTGGGCATTGTTTGCTTATTGTTTCTCGACATTCGACACACATCCGCGCACACAGTCGAGCAGCTCTTTGCAGCGTCTTTTTATGGTTTATGGCGCCATTGAATTTTTCGTTTGTTTTCTTATTAAATTATAATTTATATGTGTAGTCGCATCAGCCAGCGCCAAGGACAAGGCACTTTGTCAATTGTTTAATAGAAAACAAAGGAGATATGACTCCGTAAAATGGCTCCTGAGAAGGAAACTTTTTGGGTTTTTTCGAGGACCAGGACACTTTGCTTTGTTATTTATACATGCGCACGGCGTACTCAATTACGACTTCGAATGGCAAACAACTTTTTCAGGGTTTTCGTGGGTCTGTGAGTGGGTTTGTTTGTTTATGTGTTTGTTTGCAGGTCAGAACGTGATGAAAAGTGCGATAGTAATATATTAAAGATGGCAGATTTCGCATGGCTCCTGAAACACTTACGATGCTGAAGAGATATCACCAAAAGGTCAATAGTCTGGGTTAGTTTTTACAAAGAACTCCGGCACTGAGAATAATGAAGTTGTGACACATGAAAATAAAGTTATATTAGAATTGCCGCAGGAACCACCTTAAAAAATGTTCCTAAAAGTATGCAGTGCAAATAGAATAAATCCATTGATCGTAAATATACTGTTGCATACTTTCCAACACCTTTAAAAATTAATTTGGAATCCTAGTTATTTCTGAGTCATCCCTCTCATAAAACATACGTATTTAAAAATGCAGACAAATTGAAATTGAAAGTGATATTGTATTATAGTTTTCTGTTTTCTCTGTACAAAGTCCACCAGCTATATAAATAAATTTGCCGCAAAAAAGTTGTCATACCTCCTGATAGTTAACTAAATAAAGCCAGCGATGTGGTTGAAAATTTCTAAAAAGCATTCACAGCTAATCCACTTGAATAATGCAGCTGCAATAAAAGGCCAATGCTCCCCTTCATCGATATCGGTATCGGAAATATTTCCAAAACTATTTCAACTTCATTAAATACCGGTGTATAACTAATGCACACGTCTACAAAATGGCAAAAATAAATGCCGTGATGCCCAACCTGCAAAAGTATTCGCATAATTAATTGCACGGCATAGTTGGTTATAGATTTTATTTTGGTTTTTGCATTTAACGCATAGGTAAATATTAAAAAAAAACACTCTACGCATTGCATTCAAATTCATTAAATTTGCATACAACTTTTAAGCATATTTGAAACATTTTGTGCATATGAATCATTGGTTTGATAGCCGAAAATTTTAATAGGAAATTAAATTGCCGTTGGGTTTTAACTAATTTGCACCCGACAATATCAGCGGGCAAATATAAACAACCACAGCATCAGCCGGTGGATTTCCATTTCATGGCTGTGTTGCACATAATAACAATGCGAAAAATACATTGAAAAAGCACAAAATTGCAATGAGCTCGACTATTGAATATCTGACAGCAGTTGTATAATTTACAAGTTACGAAATAACCAGAGGTTCTATGCGATTATTGATACTGACCGGAAAATGAACAAAGGATGAATATACCTATACATCAATTTGGCATACCCTGTGGTGGTAAAAAACACTTTTCTAACTGGCAAATGTTTGCCAAATCAATTCCATTTTGCGCAAACAATTATTTGCATTTTATAAATATTTTAATTAACTGCCAAATGTAATAATTGCCAAATGAGTTTGGCCAAAAACATTTTGGCCCTGACAGCTGCTGCCTTTAGTATAATTTTTATTTTTATTTTAATTAAATCCACGTCGGCGGCGAGTGGTTAGCCCACAAAAAGATAAGCCCCAAGCTGCCGTTGACATTAATCATTTTACCTTTCAAATGCATTCTCATTAGGCGGCCGCCAAATTGAAACTTGGCTCGATGCAAAGGGAATCGGGACCCAGAGCTTCCCCCCGGGGGCTGCGGCTCATTAATAACCGACAAGATGGCATAATTCTTTGTCTTCGCCCGATATTGTACCCACCCACCTACCTCTATATATATCCTTTTATTCTTAGCTTTGCCTTTCTGTCGCTTCGGGGGTTTCCATGGAAAATAAAGATGCCCAACAATGACAGACCCGTCGAGGTTGAGCTTTATTTAGACGGGATGTACAGGATGTGCTAAGCCGGGATAAATATTGACCAACTAACGACTGACTTAGGCGCATCCCAACTTTTCCAATTAAATCTGGGCAAAGTTCCAACACTCCATGTGCTGCTGCTGATTTTTTCGACTAGGAAACAAGGAAAGTTCTAATGAGTTTATTAATCAGCGATAAATTTCGCCAACATGTGCAAGGCCAACTTGGAGAGAGTTGTCATAATTTCTAATCAGAGAAGTGTGCGAAAGAAGTCGGCTGTTTCTTCTTTTTTTTTGAAAAGAAAAGATAGATAAACATCTGCCTCAAAGGCCAAGGACAAGGAATGCCAAGTCTGAAAGGCATTTTCCGAAAGAAAAGGGCTGGCTTCCAAGGCTAATTAATGTGCAAAGTGTCAATTAATCAATCAGCCGGCCGATCAATCCTGTCGGACAGAGCTCAATCCCAAGCCCAATCCACATTTTCCCTTTTTAGCCATGAGTGTATTGACAGGATAAACTCAACAAGCTGTCAGAGTTGGCCAAGGCAAATAAAATAGCTGGCGACAAAGGCTCAATGGGCGACGACATCGCAAACATAAACCCACAGGATGGGGTTAGGGAATGGGCGCGAAAAAATAATGGAAAGAAAATTTCATCAAACGGCAGCGGAAAATGTTACCCAGATAGCCCATTTAATCAGTCGTTTCCAGGCAACCCAACCCAAGCCCATTCCATTCCCCCAAAACTGGGAGTGTCGAAGTTGGGGGCCAAAAGGCAAATGCCAGCTAATTATTATGACAAATATCAAACATCCGGTCGTTTGAGGGCGCGACTAATTCTGTGTCAAAGGCTTAAATGCTTAACGAAATGAATTGAATACATTTCAATTATTAGGAGTTCAAATGATCCAAAAATAGGCATTGTGGGGAAGAAAGTTCTGTCTTAAAGTATTTATAGAATAACACACCTATAATAATATCATTGATTTAAATCCAATATTTATTTTCTCACTAATAGAATTTTGTTACACTTTCCAAATACAATTCACGCCTCAGTTTCTTCAGGCGATGCCGTTCGTCGAGAAGACCTAACGTCCCTACGATCCACCTTTTCCATCGTAGTATTGGCCATGAAAATCTTGGCCAAGCAGATACAACCCAGCAGCATAAAGCTCACAACATGGGTCAGTAATATCTGATCGAGATCCCTGCGAATCAGCCTCCAAGATCCCCGATTTCGCACAAAGTAATACATATAGAGGCCCATAACGTCGCTGATGAGAAAAACACATATTAAAATCATTCTGGTGTTCTTGCGGACAAATGGAACCATTGCATAGAGAGCGCAAATGAAGATCAGGGATGGAAGTAGAATCTTCAGGATGAGCAGACTGCCGGCTATGAACAGAGAAAAGTGGGGATAGAATAGTCGAGCGGTGGTGGACTTGAATAAAAAGGTGGATAGCCAGTGTCCGGCCAGGAAAAAGGCCACATAGAAGTATAGAAGAATCATGAAAGCGTATCGGTAGAATCCTTTTAGTTGCTTCAGTGGTTTGTGCTGCTCTTCCCGATCTTTAATTTCTTTGCTTCGCCTTGATTCCTCATAAATTTGAAGGCCCAAAATAAATTCGGTTATCACAATTTGGACATTTAAGGCACCCCAAGAGATGGTAAGCAGACATATGATGGTGACCATGTTGATGGTGATAAGTTCCAATCTTCTCCTGGCCTGCAAAGTTGATTTTGCAAAGTATGAAATCGATAGAAAGGCGTAGATCAAAAACGACCAAGCTGCGACATGGACATAGACTGATATTTTTTCCTTGACCTCAAATTGGTAGACTCCATAGGCTCCGGCTAACAGAGCCAATGCATTTATAGCCCAAACTCGGGGGTCATGTCGATGACCCAAGATCACGGGACGAATAATAGCCATCACCATGCTTATATAAAGCACATGGAAATTTTTCAAGCGAATAATTTTGAGTCCATCTTTAAAATTTTGTTGTACAAACAGCATTGCACTGAGTAAAACAACCAGGGTCAGCCAAATGAACAATTTCACAGAGGGTCTTAAGAAAGCTCTTCGATTGTTTAGAAGTACAGAGATTGCATATAGCACACCTAGGTGTGTATAAATAAATGTCGTCAAGATCAGTAGACCAGCAGGAAATAGAGTGCAGCCCAAGTTCCAAATCGGGGTAATAATCCAATATCCTTTTACAGGACGTTCAGCCTGAGCTATTATCAGCATACCAATTGGTAGAATCAAATAAAAGGTAGTGATATTCGGCACATTTTGCAAGCCCAGCAAAGTTAGTACTAAAATTCCGATCATGGTTAGGATTAGGGTGGAGAAAGTCATAAATCCCCTTCTTTGCTCCTTTTCCTCTTTAGATAACCGAGTCAGCTGGAGGAGAAGACAGTAGAACCAAATCAAGTAGGATAATGTGGTGGCCACCATAAGGGGAATTTGGTAATATTGATGGTAGTAAGCCATGCACTTCTGAGCTGATTTACCGAATTCCTGGCACAGCTCCATCGCCTTTTTCGTATTTCCTTCTGCTATTAGGGTATTTAGTTTTCCTGAATATTGATTGATCTGTTTCAAATTAAGAGCTCCGAACTTAGGCAACCACTCGTAGAATATTGCGCTCTCATGACGTCTAATTAGAATTTTTGCTTGGGACAGAAGTTGCAAAACGTTCAGATGTATAGCCTTGATTTCATACTCATCGCTCACATTAAGATAACCCACTGGCATCAGGGCCATATTATTCATCGGAGGTGGAAGACCTATTAAGGCAGACATTAGAGGCGCCAGCTGGGTCTGATCTACCTCGGATATGTTGGGTTTGGTGGGGAAGTTTGCTTCAGGATCGACTTCAGGCCTACTCACACCAGCTCCCCACATAAACAAGGGCGTTTCTATTTCAAGTATGGATCCACCGCCATGATTTCCTGAATTATAAAGACTTTGATTAGTAAATTAACTCAAAATAAATTTAGACTTATACTATGAAAATCAGAAAAAAGACTAAAAAGTTGAGTTGTTTTAAGACCCACCTTCATTATTCATGCCATGATCGGATGTCATCAGATAGGCTGTTCTACTGTCGTTAAAGACCCTTTCAAAAAGTTCATAGGTCCTTCGAATACCGCGCTGTGTATACTGAAGCTTCTTATAAAACTTATTTGAATGGGGCTTGAACCGATGAGCAGCTATATCCATATCAGCCAAGTAGACAAAGAACACCGCCGACTTTATATTGCGCCATTCCCGAATATTATCACCATTCTTAAAGAAGTTTTCGACCTTTTCGAAAGACCATTTGTCACAAGTGAGTTTTTCCGGTAAATGTGCTTCCATATACGATTCTAGTTTCAGCGGAGCACCACCATGTGGCAGATCTTTAAAGTAACTGGCAATATTTCGGTGGACCCAGCCAATGGTATTTCTACTGCGATTAAAAACCGTATCGAAATTGCAGGGATTAAAGCGGAAGTTGACCAAGGCAGCTGCCGGATCTTCGTTGAAACCGCCAAATATGGCAATGTGTCCAGGTCGCGTCATCGTGGGAGCACAAGTGCGGGATATTCCAATGCGTCCTTGTTTCCGGTATATATCCCTGAGATCTGGAACATCGCTGCCCTTATTCGCAAGAAAGGTTGCCGCTCTTAACCCATCTGTGAGGAATACTACCAGTCGATCTGCCGGTGGCTCAAGACCCAACTCGCGCATCGTTTTCTGTGGCACGAGGTTGGGCAATAGAGTAGGTTGGAAATAGGTGCTCAATATAGAGCCCATTAGCAGGATGTGCACTACAAGTGCCTGAAGCTTCCACATTTTTGCAAGAACAAAATTTAAATGAAAAGGATATACATATTCAATTAACAAAGTGTTTTAGATTGATGTAATACTGAGAAACTACTGTTTAGTTTTATATATTGGTAAACAAAAATATCTCAACTGGCTTGAATTTTTTTAAATGCTTGAATTTTAACTTGACAAATAGATTTTCATAATTTTTGTATTAAACCTTAAAAAATAATTATTATTATTCACTTTGAGATTTCTCAAACCTATTTTCAGCTTACCATGAAGAAGATATTTTTTAACAGAAATATTAAGTATACGCAGTGTCTGCTTATGAAATGATAATATCTCAAAACTCAAATTTCGTCATCAATCATACCTTTCCACTTTGAAGAAGTGAATTAATCTTAAACGGAGGATTGTGTTCATCCTTTTGGGATATGAAGTTATAAAGTATCCTACAAAACAGCCGAACATTCCGGTATGTACAAATAAATTTTCTCCTCGAACTGCTCACATTAAATGAGCAGAATTGTTGTCGTCGCCTCATCATCATCTGTTTGTCTTATTCGCCCCACAATCGGGCTCTGTTAGGACTCTTTTTATGGATGCCATAACTCTGCGGCCTTGTCAAGCAATTTCAATTTGCCGCTTGATTTGTGAGATGGCGCCCGGACGCTTTCGCCTTGGGCACCAAATGCTGCACGTTGCTGCCTTGATTTACGCGCCTGCAATTTAAATAAGCTGCAAATTGCTGCAGTGCCTTCGCAAGTCTGGGCAATTTAAGTCTTTAAGGCCATTGTCAATCTGCAAGGCCGCGGATATTAATTGCCCCCTTATAAATTGTGACTGCCGTGTTCTTCTTTTTTGCTCATCAAACCCTTTTGTCGCTTGACATATTCGAGTTGCTGGCAGACAATTCAGGTGCTCCAAGATGTTCTTTTGATGCTCATTTGGCGCTCAAATGCTAGTTAGACCAGAAGGCTTACAGCCCGGCCATTTGTCAGGCCAATCCGAGTTGTCCTCTGACAGTTGTAAGCCAGTCGACAAATAGCTGGCCGGATGACTGAATGGCCGGCTAACAGGTTCCTCTGGCAATTAAAGGCCTGTTTTGCGTCTGGCAATGGGCTCATTTAACAGCGGACAAGAGTTGGGCGTTTTATGGCCAACATAGCAGAGTCGCGTGTTTGAAACGATTGAGAAATGCTATTGAGTAATTGGGCAGAGCAGCAGCATCGTTTGGCAGAGAAACACGAAGGCCAATCCCAGTCTCTCTTTAGGCCATGGCCCAAAGCGCAGGCGCTCTCTTAGCCAACTACTCGTACTATCCATCGGTTTTGGGTCAGCAACATGTTGGCCAACGACATCGACATCCTCATAGACATAGACTGGGCCTAAAAGTGGGTTATTCTGGCCAGCGGAAAGTGTAGGTAAGTGGGTCGGGTCGCGCTCGGCAGGCTGGCCGCAAATTAAACGAATTGTGGCACAGCATTTGGCAACATTTGTTGCCACACTGACCGGCAGCTGGAGCAGCAGCATCGTCATCATCGCCAGGAAGCGAATAAAATGCCAAATGTTTGCGGCATGAGGCTGTTGAACTCGACCGGCTTTCGGTTGGGGAATTTCGACTAAGGCCTGGCCAAGTCAAGGGCCCTCCACGTTGCAGTTGTGCCTGGAGTGGCCAGTCAATGAATTAGGAATTAACCCAGATAAATATTGACAAGCCAGGCAGCACAGTAAAAAAATTAAGAGATATGATGATTTCGGGTTTAAGACTTTAAATTTTACCTTCAAAGTAGTTCGGCGGGAAGATATGATTGGTAATATGCCTTGGTAGTTCGGTCATGTGTGGCTGGAAAATATTATTCTTTCAATTGTTTTGGTAATGAATAAACAGAACGGGGTATAACAGAGTTTCTAATAATTCAGCAACATATATTAAGTTATAAAGAATACTATGACCTAAACTTTTTTGTGAAGGTGCCTAAAAGTATGCAAAATTTATTTGTTGTCCCAAGGAATCATTAAGGAAGCTGACGTTCCCTTTCACTGCATACTTTTGGACACCATAGAAGGTTATTTTTTAACAACTTTACATCATATTCTTTTTAAAATGAAGTATAAATATTTCTTAAAATGTAATACAACAAATAAAAATCACATTTTCTCCATGTGCACAACTCAAAGCCGTAAACACTTGAAAACGTCAGCCAAAAAATTGATAATTGCTTGGCCCAGTACTTCAAAAGCAATATCAAGCAAATCAATTACGGCATCCCGCTCAACTCGGAATTTCCATCCAGAAAAAAATGTGTATGCGAGCGTGTGAAGAGCTAACCCCATTTAAATTCAGCTGCGTTTTGTGTTGACAAAACTTATCAACAATTCAATTTCAATAAATACTCGTGAGTTTTGGCCCGCTTCGCATATTGTTCGATGCATTTTTTAACACGAAATATTAGGGTCTGTGTGAGCAGGTGCGCGCACGTGGGGGATCGTTGGCAGGCAAGATATGCGATGTACTGACAACTCCCCCTGAGTTACTACGCCCCTGGGCAGCCCTTTCTGTGTGTGCGAGTGTGTGTGTGCTGAATTTTGGCATTTGAATTGTCACATCTGGTTCATGGCTTCGAACTCATCCATCAAATGCAGCCCGGCTGCTTCATCGCATAACCCCCGCTCATCCTGTCATCGCATGCCAATGCAATCATTTTTATTGTGTGTGCGCCAGTGTGCGTGTCTCTCTGCGGCTGTGTGCTGTATGTGTCGTCTGCTGATGTTGTATTGGTGTATCCTGTGAAATAGCGCGCATAACCACAGCGACAAAACCAATACACGGCCAGAGGCAAACCTCCATTTTTTCTTACTCCCTTGCATATACAAACACATACATACGTGCATCTGCCTAACGAGCGCCTGACAATGCGATTTTCTGCCCTGGTGTATCTGTGTGTGCGCGGTGTAAATATGTGTGCGTGCTGGCAGGCGGCTATTGAAAGGCAAACACAATGCGAATATAATTTACGAGTCGGACTAAAATTCAACTTTTTAATAGCCGGCCTTTGTCATGCAACCGCAATGCACTCGACGGCTGCCTCTTTCTTGTAATTCGGTTGGCAATCACACCAAATTAGTTATTTATTGCAAAAACAGAACACGAAAAGAACTGAGATTTTTATTGTAATACAATAGTTATTCACAACTACCTTTCTACCTTTGTTTATATCAACATCATTTAAAACAAAGCAGTAAACCAAAACAGCTTTTAAAATATCATTGCCTACTTTTTGGCATCAAAATATTTTCACTAAATGATGTCGACAACATGTAACTTTATTTTATTGCTATTAAAATAAACGCTTTGAGGAAAAATATATATTTTAAGTTTAAGAAAATTGGTCATGCAATAAAAACAACAGACGACTTTTGCATTGAATACTTTGACTTCTTGTTGGACACCATTGTAAGTGATATCAAAGCTCTTTTGATTTCAATGCCATTTGGCAAGCATTCACCTTCTAATCCCTAAAACTTTCAAAACGATTTCAGCCCTTTGCGTAAACTGATTACGAACTCAACTCAGGCCAAGTCATTCACAAAAGTGAAATAAATAAATAAAGTTTGGCAAATAGTTTAGACAATCAGTTTTTCTTACTCACAAATCCGTGTAGACCGACATTCAACCAATATCTTGTGTGTGCTTTTGCTTTTGCTCATGTGCATCGATTTAGCCATTATTCTAACAAGCTCTTAACAATCTAACGACGAGACAGGAAGCCTTTACATAACAATCAGGCTGGCCCAAAGTCTCGTTAAAGTCCGGAGGAGCTTACTTGACACTCGGCCTCACTCGCTCTCAAGTAGGTCAACAATTCGATGATTTTTTGGGAACAAAGCCGGCCAGCCAGCCAGCCAGGAGTGGCTTTAAGGCTTAAATCCGGCAAAAGCCAACGGCAGCTGCAGTGCAAACTCAATTGGTGGTGTGAGGTGGTTGAATGGTAGGTTTCGGTTGGCTGCTGGCTTTGGTTTTTCAATAAAGGCAGATTTATGCATTGTGTTATGCCGAATTAAATGCGCTTTTGTTGCAGAAACACAAACACTGAGAGAGGTCGGGGGGACCCCATACAAATTGTTGAACAAAAATGTAGCAGCACTCAATTGGATTTAATTGCTGGCCTGCGCTGTGCGTGCTGCAGCAATGCAACCAAAATAACACCAAATTAGGCTAAAAATTCGGCCATAGTCCTAGTGTCGTTTCGGGAATTCATTCGCTTACATAAGCGAGTTAAAAATTAAATGAAATATTTTTTCAAGCGGTTGAGCTCTGCCCGATTTATGAACTCGATGCGTTTTAATTTATTATGAACGAGTGTATATGTTTGCATTTTATTAATTACCACAAGGCATGCTGTCTTTTTTTTTTGGTTGTTGTGTGAGCTTATTATTTAGTTAGTTGTGCTGCATGAGCGATGCGATGCCCTCGCTGCAAATTTAATTGGTTATTTCGCATAAACAAGTTGCGAAAGTTTGCCGAAAAATGTCTCCCTTTGCCAGTCTCGCCATCTCAAATTTGCTCAGGAGCTTGTCAGGCCTTTGAGCGGCAAAATTAAATAGCAAAGCAAAGTGCACTGCTTGCTTTTTACATTCCTTTTCCTTTTCGATAGTTTTTTTAGTTTTTGTGTTTATTTTTTTTTATTTCTTTTTTTTTTTTGGCAGCAAACAAGCCGTGGCTGGCTGGCAGAGCCATAAGGCACAGCTTCCTCTTTTGGCCTGTCAGTGGCATGTGCGGAGACACGCCCCCTCCGGCACCGCCGCCCCTGACCCGTACTCCGTAACCCCACAACCCACACCCCACACCCCATAGAGGCACCTCACCACCCATCCCTTCGTTTTGGCCGTATGGCATGTGCAAAAGTAAAAACGAAGTTGGGCAAAACTTTTTAATATGCTTGCGAAATTTTATCAAAACTACAAAATTGCAGCAAAGTGCCAAGTGCCTGGGAACTGGGAGCTGCAGCAGCGTCAACGAAAACCTAGGCGTTGCACTTGAAATAAATTGGGGATCAAATGAAATTTTGGGCATTTTAAATTGATACTAAT